TGGGAGCGCTTGGGAGCGCCTGGGAGCGCTTGGGAGCGCCTGGGAGCGCCTGGGAGCGCCTGGGAGCGCTTGGGAGCGCCTGGAACGCGCGCCAGCCGAAAGGACGCCGCATGCTGTATTTTCATATGGTTTGTGGCCCCACGGACGGCCGAAAGGGCGCCGCATGCTGTTTTTTTCATAGGGTTCGAGCCCCAGGGGATGAGACCAAGCGCATTAGGGTTTAGGATTTAGGGTTTAGGGTTTAGGGTTTAGGGCTTAGGGTTTAGGGTTTAGGGTTTAGGGCCTGCATTGGCGCAAGCGCGCGCTGGCTGCGATCCCCCCCACATCAAGGTTGTTGGGGGGGATCGCTGCCCAAGCCGCGCGCGCCACGGTTAGTCGCACTCCCGCCCCAGACCACCCAGAGTGAAGCCTTTTAGGGTTTAGGGTTTCTCCCCCCAACCCCCCGATCACAGGGGGCTGTCGAAGTGGCGCGCGCAGGCGATCGCCGACGCGGCCGTGGCACTGCGCATCCACGTGAGCATGCGCGCAGGGCGCGTGACGTAGGCGCGTCGGCTTGTCGCCCCGTCGAAGAGGCAGCCTTTGGCGATGTCGGCGTTGAGCTTCGCCGTTGGGCTGCCGCTGGCGCAGCATGTCCATGCGTTGTTGCATGTGCCTTCGGCACTGGGTTGTGACACTGGGGGCTGAATGTTGGGATGCGCGCGTGCGGCCGCGGCCGTAGCAATGCGCGCCGATGCGAGCACGCGCGCAGGGCGCATGGCGCTGGCGCGTCAGGTCGCCTCGTCGATGAGGCAGCCGTTTGCACCTTCGGCGTGGAGCTTCGCCGGCGGGCTGCCGCTGGCGCAGCAGTTCCACAAGGGGTCCGGCATTTGCCTTCGGCATTGGAAAGCAGCACTGCGAAGGCGCTGGCGCGGGAATCCCATGGTTTCCCGTGGGCCTGGAGCGAGTGGCTGCGCCGTCGGGCCCCTCGCTGACGGCGACGCGTACGGCAGTTGCATTCGCCCGCGGCTTTGGGTTTCGCCTTTGGGGTCGCCCCCCCGCTGAAGCGATTGCAATCACCGGCGCAGCCGCCTTCGGCGCGAGCTTCGGACGGCTGGAGGGGGAGCGCGAGGGGGTGGGTCTGGCACCCCCTCGCTACGATGCGCGCGAATGGCTGCGGCAGCACCTCCATGGCAGAGCCCGCGGAATTCCTTGGGGGGGCCCTCTGGCATCGCTGGGAGAGCGCCTGGAGCCTTCCCCGGGAGCTCTGGGGCCGCCTGGAACCGCCTGGGCACGCTTGGGAGCGCTCTGGAGCGCGCGGGAGCGCCTGGGAGCACCGCGTGGCGCCTTGGCGCGTTTGTAAATGCTTTGGAGCGCGTGGGAATCCGTGGGCGCCTGGGAGCGTGCTTGGGAGCGTGCCGGGAGCGCCCGAGAGCGCCTGGCAGCGCTTGGGAACGCCTGGGAGCGCCTGGGAGCCTGCCAGGAGCGCCTGGGAGCGTGCGGGGAGCGTGCCGGGAGCGCTTGGGAGACCCTGGGAGCGCCTGGGAGCGCTTGGTAGCGCCTGGGAGCTCCTGGGAAGATCTGGGAGCGCGTGGGAGCGCCTGGGAACGCTTGGGCGCGTCTGGGAACGTGACGGGAACGCTTGGAGAATCCTTTGGGAACGCCTGGAAGCGCATGGAGCGCCGCATGCTGTAATTTCATAGGTTTGGAGCACCCAGGGAGCGCCGCATACTGTAATTTCATAGGTTTGGAGCCCCAAGGATAGCATCGGGTTGCAGCGAACCCGCTTGCTAGGGCTGAAGGTTAGGGGTTCCTTTTCTTAGGAGAACACCACGGGGATGCACCGCGCGGCGTGCGAATTCCTCCTCAGCGGCTATCGCCGCTTCGTCGGTGCGGCGCACGCTGCATGGGCAGGCTCGCTGAGCGCTCGGCCAGGCGCCACGGGCTACTGACGTTGCACCGCCCGTGGCTTGCAGTTTAAGGTTTAAGGTTTAAGGTTTAGGGTTTAGGGTTTAGGGTTTAGGGTTTAGGGTTTAGGGTTTAGGGTTTAGGGTTTAGGGTTTAGGGTTTACACTACGTATTAGGGTCTGCGGGGTGTGCTGCGGTCTGCTCGGTGTGCTAAATAGGTTTCAGCGATAAAAAACGATGTATCGACCTATTCGGAATGGAGCAAAAAAAAAAAAAAAAAAAAAAAAAAAAAAAAAAAAAAAAAAAAAAAAAAAAAAAAAAAAAACACGTGCGGGCATTTTGTCTATAATCCCACGTAAAAAAACGATGTGCGCCGTCGGGCTCCTCGCTGACGGCGACGCGCACGGCAGTTACATTCGCCCGCGGCTTTGGGTTTCGCCTTTGGGGTCGCCCCCCCGCTGAAGGGATTGCAATCATCGACGCAGCCGCCTTCGGCGCGAGCTTCGGACGGCTGGAGGGGGAGCGCGAGGGGGTGGGTCTGGCACCCCCTCGCTACGATGCGCACGCATGGCTGCGGCAGCACCTCCATGGCAGAGCCCGTGGAATGCCTTGGGGGGGCCCTCTGGCAGCGCTGGGAGAGCGCCTGGAGCTTCCCCTAGACGGGTCCAGAACGAAGGGATAGGGGGGGGTAAAGTTGAGGGTCGAGACCGTCGGAAGTCGGAACCCCTGGAGCTTCCGACGGCGGTCCGACAACGTTTTGGGCGGCGGTCCGAGGGAGGAAGGCAGGTCGGAGTAAGGAGGGAGGGGGGGGGGGTGGAAGGAGGGAGGAGGGGGGAGGAAGTGATGAAACTTGCACGTAGGGATGGAGGAAATGAGGAAAATGCGGAATCTTTCGGCGGTGGACAGACCTCCATTTAGCAAACATCCCTTTAGTGTAACCGACCTGGGACCGAACCCGACGGGCCTGGACCCGCAAAAACGACGGCCGCGACGCCCTCTCGAGGGCCGAAAACGGCCGATTCGCTAATCGACGCGTCATGGTTGGAGGTCTATCAACCCCCGAATCTAGATCTAGGAGGGCTGGGCGGGCTGGGCGACAGTCGGCGACAGTCGACGATGGTGGCGGCGACGGCTGTTTCTGTCGATCGATGGCACGCTGCGCGAGGCTCGATCGCTCGCTCCTCGACTGTACAGTGGGTGCAGATCGGTCGGGTCGGCAATCGACCGTGGAATTACTCCACAGGCGCCGACGGGCCGACGGACCTGCCCGCGCTGACGCTCGCGCCGCGGCTCGCAGCGCGCGCGGGGCGGGGCCTGGGGCCCAGAGGGGGGGGGGGCGTAAAACCGTGTGCTCGCGTGTCGGCACCCACAAGATGGCACGATGAGAGTCCTCGGTCGCCGTCGTCACGTCGTCGCCGCAGTCGGGCCGTCGCCGTCGCCGTCGTCGTCGTCGACGCCGCCACCGCCGTCGCCGCCGCCGTGGGGTAGAGGCGTAGAGGTAGACCACACATCGTGATGATCTGCATGATGCAGATCATCACGATGTGAGGTGTGAGGTAGAGGTGTGAGGTGTGAGGTAGAGGTGTGAGGTGTGAGGTAGATGCATTGTGTGAGGTGCGAGGTAGATGCAGATTCTGCATCTACCTCACACCTCACACAATCTCCGACCGACGGACTCCTCATCCCCATCCTGCGGGTGGTCTGCCACGTAGGCGCCCGGAGAGCTCGACCACCCACCCTGCCTGGATATCGGGATATCGGGTTCCCTGGAATGACTACTACTCTGGAACTCACATGGGCTCCTGGCGGGCCCCGAACCCGACCCCGAGGGAGGCGTGGGTGGGTGGGAGGGGGCGATGCGGCAGCTGCAAGGCCCGCACCAATGGCGGCGCCTCGGCGCACGACCTGGACGAGGCGTCGGGCGAGGCGCCGCGCGTCGGGGCACGGGGCATATCTACAAAATATGGGTGGCCTCCGTCGCCGGCAGGCCCAAGAGACGGCGTCGTCGTCGGCGTCGTCGTCGACGTGTCGTAGTCGTCGTCGTCGTCGTCGTCGTCGACGTCGTCGTCGTCGTCGTTGTCGTCGTCTAGCTAGGTCGTCGTCGTCGTCGTCGCCGTCGTCGTCGGCGTCGTCGGCGGCGGCGGCGGCGGCGTCGGCGTCGGCGCCGGCGTCGGCGTCGGCGGCGTCGGCGTCGGCGTCGGCGTCGTCGTCGCCGTCGTCATCGTCACATCGTCGAATCGTCGCCATCATCATCAGAGCGAGGCGTGCCTACTTAAGCAAGTGCTTATCGCACGGGGCATCCTTGCCCTTCTGCACAGCACTGGCACTGGACGACGCCGCGGCGCCTGTCGTCGCGCGGTCCTGCTGGCCGCCCGGCGCGGCGGCACTCGAGCGAGCGTGGCTGACGCATGCGTTTTTGAGTTTGAGTCAGGGCGCGGACAGCTGTGACAGCTGAGCCCTAAGACTCCCAAACGGAGCACAGGGTAGCTGGAGAGGGCAACTCTTATCATCACACTGCCGAGCCACTGAGGCATAGGCAACGGAATAGGATGCAGGAACAAGGAAAAGGATGCAATACAACATGTGAAAATGTAAAGGTGTTGGAGAGCTCCAAGCAAGATGAAGTGAGTCAGCTGCTTGGATGAAAGATGCTACCCAGGGGAAAATCGGGGCGCCGCACTTCTTGGCCACCAGTGCACGCTGCTTGGCCGTGCGCTCCTGCTCGGTCGTATCGCGCGAGAGCGAGACCAGGTCGGCATTCGCCCAGCCGCCGGGAGGCTGCACGCCAGCCTTCGTGGCAAGCCTGGGAGGGCGAGGGGGGAAGGAGGGCTCATCCGCCTCCGTCGTCGTCGTCGTCGGCGTCGTCGCCGTCGTCGCCGTCGTCGACGTCGTCGTCGTCGTCGACGCCGTCGTAGTCGTCGTCGTCGTCGTCGTCGTCGCCGTCGCCGTCGCCGCCGTCGTCGTCGTCGTCGGCGGCGGCCTCCCCAATCGTCACCTCTCGCCTCCCTCCTCGCCCATGTCTCAAGCATCCGCCTCAGCCATCGCAATACTTATCATCGTCATCTCGTCAGCCTCCGCCTCCGCCACCCCCTCCATCGTCCATCGCATCGGCGAGCCTGGTGATCGTGATGTCGAAGGCCGCCATGGTGTAGCCGTCGTCGGAGTCCGCGTCATCATCCTTGAAGCTGAGGTCGGTGACCGAGACGAAGCCGTCCTTGTCGACCCACCAGTGGTGCAAGTCTGTGATGACGGCCATGTTGGCCTGCTCGGCCTTCGCCATGTCTTTCACCGACCAGGCGATCTCCGGGAAGGCCCCCGCGATGGGGCTCTTGGCCGTCGGCGGGTTCAGCCAGAACGTGATGCCGAACACCTCGGATGATGCTTATGCTTGGCGACCCTCCTCCTCCCGCCCTAACCCATAATCATTCGACATTCGACGTCACCGCCGCCCTCCGCCAGTCGAAGCCGTCCAACTCAGCCTCATCCTCCTCCGAGCTGAGCTGGACGTCGGGGATTGTCGAGGATCGTCGTCGCCGTTGTCGTCGTCAGAGTCGTCGTCGCCGCCGCCGCCGCCGCCGTCGTCGTCGTCGGCGTCGTCGTCGTCGTCGTCGAGTCGTCGTCGTCGTCGACGTCGTCGTCGTCGTGTCGTCGTCGTCGTCGTCGTCGTCGACGCGTCGCCGCGTCGCCGTCGTCGTCGCCGCTGGACGGGCCGACGGGCCGTCGGGGGTTGGGCGCGGGGGAATGCTATGCGGATCGGCGCGCCTCGGCCAGGGGCAGACTGATCGGCGAGGCGCGCGCCGCGCTGACCGAGCCGACGAACATGATGCTCAGGCGCGGCTGAGCGGAGGAGAGGAGGATGAATTATGAGGATGTGGTGGAGGAGGAGGAGGAGGGACGGGGGAGATGAGGAGGATGCGAGGGGAGGGAGGGGGGGTCTCTTCCCAATTCGAGCTCCACTGAGCTCCACGCTGCACGCTGGCGGTGCGCCCCCGCGCGGGGCAGGCGTTCTGGCCGCGGGGCCCCGGGCCGCAGGGGAGGGGGGGGGGGCACCCGGTGACCACCACGCCCCCAGACGTGAGGGGCAGGGGAGGGGAGGGGGGGGCGGGGAGGAGGAGGACGACGAGGAGCAGGGGATGGGCCTGGGGGAGGATGGGAGGAGGGGGGAGAGGGGGAAAGGGGTGGAGGGGGGGGCTTGCGGAATTAAGGGGACCCATCGCACCCATCGCGCCTCGCTCCCCAGCTTAGAGTCATGGGCGTGCGGCGGCGGGTTCCACAGCACGGTGGGCTTCTTGTCGTCGATACCGCAGTCGACGACCAGCGAGTCGAATCCGCTCAGGCCCGACGAGGTCGGGAGGCGGTCACCCCAGCGCGCACCGTCAGCTGGAGTAGCAGACGGCGGGGCCCGACAGCAGTAGGCGCCAGATTCGCGGTAATGCCGCCAGATCGCCGCCTCCAGGCTGCACTCCACGTTCTTGATCAACAGGCCGTCGACGAGAATGCCCAGCTTCTTCGCGTGGGCAGAGTTGCTGAGGTTGCTATCTGAGCGCGCAGTCGGCGCGACGAAGTTGTAGAGGTCGGAGACCGTCACCTCGAGCCCGCCTGTGGCACTAACCGTCGGCACGGTCGGCACGGTGCTGCGCGCGCCGTCGATGGGGGCGCCGCGTCGAGCACCGCCTCGTGCGCCTCGTGCGCCTCGTCGCGACCGCCAGCGCCGCCATCGCGCGCGATCGCCGCACCCCCGCCCCCCGCCGCCGCCGCCCCGGGGGCCGTCGGGGCCGAGGCCGATGCGCAGCTGCCGTGCCACTGAAGCAGCCCGGGCGCGGCTGCGTCCGCCAGCGGCAGCGGCGCGGCACCGCCGCCGGTGTCCGCCAGTAGTGGCGGCGGCGTCGTCGCCTGGACTCCATGGACCTGCTGGTTGAGCTCCTGCTTCATGGTCGTGACGAGCGCGGTGAACTCGGCCATGCCTGAGCATGCCAGCACTTTAGTCCACAACTCCTGCCACGCGTCCGTCGTGGCGGCGGACGCCTCTAAGCCGATGAACGTCTTGAACGCGGGGTCGGTCAGCCTGCTCCTGTCGGTAACGAATGCTGCAACCAGCATCTGCAGGCCAGGAGATAGGCACGGGTCAAGAGCGCTCATGTCACGGACAGCGTTGAGCAGCATCACCACGTAGCCCGAGCGAAGGCGAAGGAAATCTTCGAGGGCGGCCGTCGACGGGAAGATAGCAGATGCAGCGGCGGGGATGCTCCCAGACTCGATGACGATGGTCGAGACGGCCGACGCCGCTTCGTACCATTTGAAGGGAACGTGCTTGCCAACGATGTCAACGAAGCTGGACATGTCCATCTGCTGCCCAGCGGGCGCGGCGAGAGTCGCCACGGCACGCATCATATCGCTGAACGCAGGGTGCGCCATCGGTGGCAAGTGCGCGGTGCCGCACACGAAGTTGTTGAGGTCGTCGAACACAGCAGATACCAGCTCCTGGCAGTCGGCGTATGAAATGCCGTCGCCATCGAGGAATTCCTCAATGGGCTTCATGCACATTGCCAGCAAATCTGACGCCAGACGGTCTGGGTCGTTCAGCACGCTGCTGCAGACGCCACCACCGCCGTCACCGCCACCACCGCCGTCAGCAGCGGGCGCTCGCGCGACATCCACATCCTGCCAAGAGCCGCAACTGAGCTTCATCAGCACGATCGCCTCCTCGCGGAATTTGCTGTACGCCTTGATGAGCTTGCCGTTAACTGGGACCTCGGTGTTGAACACGAACTCGATGAACAGGCCCACGACAGTGCCGCGCACCCGCATGACAACCTCCACGGGGGCTTTGGCCGTGTGGAACGAGATGCACCACAGGATGTCGTCCATGACCGTGGTGGGGCGCTCTGTGGCCTTGGTGTCACCAGCCTGGAGAGGCGGCGTCAGGTCGCGGAAGAACTCGATAGTGGCCTGCTGCGGCTGGGCACTCGCGGCGTTGGCGCCGGCGCCGCCGCCGCCCCTGCCGCGGCCCTTGCCATGGCCCGTCTGGCCCCTGATCGGGAGATCCTTCTCCCTCTTCGCCGCCTTCTCCGCCGCCTTCCCAGCCTTCTCTAACGCGGCCTTGGCCTTCGCAACGGCCTTGGCCTGCGCCGCTGGGTTTGCAGCATCCACGCGACGCCGCTTGCCCGGGCCCGGGGCCCCATCATCACCGGCGGCCGCAGCCTCGGGGCCTGCGACGACAGCTGCAGGGGGGGCAGCCCCGGGGGCAGCCGCGGGGGGCTGTGCTGCCTGCACACCAGCCGCAGCCGCCGTAGCCGCGGCAGCATCACCAGTCTGAGCCTGAACCGTGGCCGCCTGCTTGGCGGCAGCCGCCGCGGTCTCCTTCGCACTCTTCTCCTTGAGCTTCTTCGCCGCCACCGACCTCGCCATGGGCGTGCACAACAGCGTGTACTTCATGATCGTCTTGTGGCCAAGCGCCTTGGGTGCCGCAAGTGGCGTCGTCGTCACGTCGCCGAGACGTCGCCGACGTCGTCGTGAGGCGTCGCCGCCGACTCCGACATCGTCGGCGCCGCCACCGTCGTCGTCGCGCCGTCGTCGTCGGCGGCACGGCGTAGGGCCCAGAGTCGCCCACCGTATGGGGCCCACCGTCGCCGTGTACGACGCACGTCGGCGTCGGCGTCGCTGTCGTCCTCGGATCGTCGGGGTCGTCGTCGTCGTGTCGTCGTAGGCGCCGTGAACAGCCATGGGATCTTGCGCTGGGTGGCGAGCTGCTGCTTGGACTGCTTTGACGGCGTAGGCAAGCAGAACTTGAGTCCCTCCATCATGACGGTCGCCACCACATCCTTTGGCCAGTACCGCCCGAGCTCGTTCTTGACCTGGGCTGCGGATACCACCCGCGGCCCAGGGAGGAGGATGAAGGGGAGGAGGAAGGAGGGGGGGGGGGGGGGCATCGACCACCCCCCCCGACCTCTAGGGGGTCGGGGTCGCTTGATCAGAATACCGAGTGGCGACGATGACGAGACGAGGACCCAGCGGGCCCGGCGGGGGGGGGGCACTCCCTCCCCCCCCCCCTCCCCCCATCGAGGCAGGCGGATGGGGGGGGGGGGGCGAAGAGACATTTGGGGTTGGGATGGGAGGCGGGCCCCCCCCGGGCGGCAAGCAGCGTTTCTAGAAGCACAATGATTTCAGTGACCGCCGCACACCTTCAGCACCCACGAGTGCATGATGTTAATCGCGTTGAAGTTGTTCAGCTGGTCGTTGAGGAAGTCGCAATTCAACTTCACCCAATCCTGAAATGCATCCCAGATGCCATAGTTCTGCAGGTTGTGGGCGAACGACTTCGTGTTGCTATAGTGCTTCCACGACGAGAGCTGAACGGACTTGTTATCGTTCGCCTTCTTATCCTCCTGTGGGCGGCACACAAGCCAAACGCATCCCGAGGAGGGGGGTCCCCGGGATCCGCGGGGCTTTTGAGTCGTCGAAGTTTCCGACGTCGTCGGGAACCTCGAGGTTCCCGCCAGTGACGGAAACCTCGGGTCCCGTGGAATCCACAGAGCAGTTTGCTGCCACCCTCATCGTCGTCGGCATCGTCTGGACCTTTGCGGGGCGTGTGAGGACCTCAGGGCAGGGCCTAGCCTCAGGGTGGCAGCAGTGTGCTGCCACCATCGTCGTCGTGGCGTCATCATTGTTGGGACTCAAAAGACATCCAGGATCCATCCAGGGTCCAGGGTCAGACTACATTGCTGCCACCATCGCCGTCGTCGTCGTCATCGTCGAGTCGTCGAGTCGTCGTCGGACGTCGGAGCATTGTAACATCACTCATCACATCACTCAAGTCCTCGATCTGCCGCTCGACAAAAGCCTCGTACTGGCTGTCGTACAGCGGGTTGCCCTGCGCCACGATGCCATTAGCCCATGCATGAGCGTGCCACAGCGTCTCGCAGCGCAGCGCCTGGTGGATGCCCTGCATGAAGGTGGGCTTGGAGCCATCGTGGAAGGTATTGTGGAAATTGCAGGCCCACTCCAGCGCGACTTGTGGCGCGTCCTCCGAAATCATACGCGCGTGGACGCCCTTCTTGAGGGCTGCCTTGACGAACACATTATCGGGCGCCTCGGTCCAAGCGCGGTAGAACGCCTCCGAGAGATGATTGCATGTGGACGCGTAGACTGGCATCTTGCGGTCCTTCTGCGAACCACGTGCCCCTGGCCCCTGGCCCCTCGCATCCAGTGCGAGGGAGGGGCCGGGGAGGGGCGGTTGGTGGGGAGATGAGTCGGACTCCGGATGACGGACGAGGGGCGAGGGCCCAGGGCCGAAGGGATGTGGGTGGGACGGTGGGGATGAGTTAGGACATGCACGAGGGTTACGAGGGAGGGCGAGGGGGGAGCGAGAGGAGGGCAGGGCGGTGGTGGTGGGGGGGGGGGGGGGGGCGGAACCATGGAGGAGGCAGGGAGGAGGAGGGGTGCGTTTGAGATAGAGAGGGAGAGGGCCAGTGAGAGAGAGAGAGAGAGAGAGAGAGAGAGAGAGAGATCAGAGATGGGGATGGGGGGCTCAGCAGTCCGATCCGCCGTAGTGGAACCACGCCTCGCCGCGGCAGCTCAGGCTCAGCCCGTCGGTGAGGATGCGGTGCTTGTAGTCCTGGTGGCGAAGCGCAGGCCGACCGAGCCCGCTCCCCCCCCCACGACACCCCCTGGTTGTGTCGACACCGACGACACATGGATTCCATGGATTGTGTTTAGGACAAGGGGACAGGGGGGCATTTTATGGTCATCCCCGTGATATATATATATATATGTATATATACATGGCAATATAAATTATGTACCTCTCTCTCTCTCTCTCTATCAGACCATCAGACCCAACACGCTGTATATATTGGCATCGCCGTGGCCGCCACCATGAGTCAATGACACCGAACAACAGACACCGTCCTCAACCACGGTCTCGCTGAGGTCGCGATTGTGGGGAGACGGCTTGATGGCGCGCAAATCCTGCAGCGCGGTATCCTTAGGGGTGTCCGGCGGAGGGCGACCATTCTCGTCGCCGCCGACAAACCACTTCACTGTCACGTAGCCCGCGTCGTACCGCTCCCAAAACCTGTCAAGCAGGATGCTGCCCTTGGAGTCACCAAGGAGCGTGAGGATGGAATCGGCAGCATCGGTGGCGGTCGCAGCGGTCGCAGGCTGCTCTGTGGCGGCGGGCCGCTTCCTCCTGGAGCGCCGCTGCGGCGGTGCTGGCGCTGGGCCCGCGGCGGCACCCGCGGCGCTCATGGCGCGCAGCGCACAGGCGGTGCGGCGCAGCGCGGGGGGGCCTGCGCTCCCGGGGTGGTGCTGTGCACTGTGGCCTCAAATGAGCCTCAAATGTCAAACTGGGCCCGCAAAATGCAAGCTCTTGGTCCTGGTAGTACTGCACGCACTGCACGCGGCGCTCGGGCGCAGTGCACTGGCAATGCACGGACGTCTGGTCGTCGGACCGACCGTTCCTGAGGTGGTCATGACGAGGCCATTGTTGCCTTCCTGATCTGAGTACTCAGAGTACTCAGGTCCAGACAGCAAAACTAAATCTTGAATCATCAGCAACATCGGTCGCCGCGGCCACCTCCGGACCAGCCATGCATGGGCCCCTCATCCCGATCGGATCGGACTCGCGGGTCCCGCTGGTATCATCGCGCCGCCGCCCGGGAGAATGGCCGATCGCTCTGGCCCAGGCCGCGACGCGCGAGGGGCGGTTACCTTCGCGCACCCGATGGGGCATGGGCCGGGCCCAGGGGGCATGGCCGGGCATGGCATCAGGCTATCGCGAAATCGAATCGTGTCGCACGAACTCACGTCTGAGATCGCGAGTCGCATCGAGTCGCACGGTCCGTCGGTCTGCCCGCATGCACCAGGATTCCATGGGATATGTACTGATGAGAAGCTACATCATGGGTCTGGGTCAATCAACGGCCTGAGCGCCGCACCCGGAGGACTCACCCGGAGGGAGGGCAGAGGCAGAGGGGCTCGGGGCGGGGTGGGGTGGGTCCGGGGTGGGTGTTGCTGCACGATGCACGCAGACAGCTCACACCGACAGAGCCATAGCTTTCCTACGACCCAGCGAGACACGTCCGCCAGCCCGGAGCGGCGTGCGGCGTAGTCGGACTAGAATCTAAGACCACCGGCCCTCGGCCCTCGGCTCGACTGTACACTGTAGACTGGAGTCGACGGGCCGGCGGTAGCTCAACTTACAGCAACCAGGCGCCCGCCGCCGTGGTGGGCCGTCGTCGTCGTCGTCGTCGTCGTCGTCGTCATCGCCGTCGCCGTCGCCGTTGTCGTCGTCGTCGTCGTCGCCGGCGGCGGCCATGGATCGAAAGTGCGCAAGCGTGCATGTGCATGCGTGCTGCAAGCCGCAAGTAGCACCTGGTCACCTGGGCACCTGGACACCATGACACCATGGAGAGTTAACGACTATAGACACTAGAGACTCCCCCGTACGACGAACTTAAGCGGCACGCGGCATGCATGAGACGGCATGAGACCTGAGCGGCCTGGCCCGAGCTAACAAAATCACGAGGGGCCATCGGGGCGGGCTGGCGTCTTGGAGCGCAGCCGCCGCCGCCCCCGCGGTGCCGCACCCGCCCCCGCCACGGCCGCGCGACTCCGCTTGATCGCGCGAGCCGCGAGCCGTGCGTTCACGGCCACAGTGTCGAGGATGATGTTCTCGGTGTAGCGGACGTTCATGTACTCGGCCAGCTGGAAGACACCTGGGGGGGGCGGCCGGGTGGGGCCCGGGTGGGGTGGCGGGGGTGGGTGGGGTCAACGGTGGTAACCCCTGTGACACATGTGGGACGAACAGAGCGGGCGTTATTACGGGGCCATGGATGGTTCATCGGTACGTTGCAAGCGCACCTGCAACTGTAACGTGCATGGCGTTCCCAGCTTGAGCGCACACGTTGCGGAGCTGGCGGCTGTCGATCATGCGATTGAAGCTGCACAAGAAGTCACGCGACGACCTCAGCGGAAAATGTGGATGTACTGGGAACCCCTGCGCGACCAGCGTCTCGGTCGGGGATATCCACCTCCGGGGCGCCAGCTTGGTCGCGCCGTCGACCTTGATGGCCGCTACAAGCTGACGACAGGGATTGGAGAGGGGTCGAGGAAGAGTCGAGGAGCGAGGAGTCCGGAGATTGATCGGCATCGATCGGCCTGGTCGGTCTGGGTGGTCGGTGGTCCGACCGACGATCGACGATTCGACGATATTCGCGGGTTCGTTCCGTCGGTCCGTCGGATGGATCGGTCGGCGCCGTCGGTCGGATCGGTCTGATCGGTCGGTCGAGCAAAAAAGGTTGGATCAGCCGGTCGGTCGGATCGGTCGGTCGGATCGGTCGGTCGGTCGGATCGGTCGGTCGGGCAAAAAGGTCCGACGTACGCAGCGCAGCGGTACTACTATCGCCGCGACCGCGGCGTAGGGTTCAATCGAGTCGGCGAAGATCAGACCCATGTTCGAGATCAGCGTGTGCAAATCCGAACTCGTTGTTTTGAGAGTGTGGTTGACGGCGTCCTGGCGGACTGACAGCGGACTGACCAGAACCAGACCGCCCAAGATGGCTGCAACGTTCCATCGCATCGCAGCGCACCCGGCGCACCCCGCGAGACGCGACGCGAGGTTATCTTCGCGCCCTGCTGAGCGGGACCCCTGGCGTCGCCGCCGCGCGCTTCGCGGTCCAGCGGCGATCCACCCCAGACCGCGAAGCGTGCGGCGGCCGTGAGGTGAGGCTCGATGATATCGAGCCATCCATCTGCACCCAGGACATGGGGATGGGGTGAACGGTGGCGCGGGGTGTGAGAAGGCTGAGGGGGGCTGGGCTGAGGGAGTCTGATCCTGGTTGATCTGCCACGCCCCCAACGGGTACGACTTCTCGTACACCGCAAGGTTATCAGTCTCCCACTCCGTGAGCGAGCGATACCACGCGTCGGGCGAGGACGGGGTCAGCCATGCCTCCGCGTGCGCCTTGGACCTCCGGGCGGCGCAAACCAGCGTGCGCCGCGGCATCCCAACACGACTCGACTCTCAAGTTCTCAAGCAGCGTGCCCCCCAGGGGGCCCCTCATCCCCTCATCCCCGCATCCCGCATCTCATTTCAGCGATCCATCCACTGCATCCTTCTCGAATGCATCCTGACTCCTCATCCTCATAAGCAGTCATAAGCAGTATAAATTCCACCCGCCGCCGCCACCTTCTCCGTCACCGTACTACCACCTACCGCCCTCCCCCCGTGCCACCCTCCAGCCGTCGTCCCCGCATGATCGCAAAGAGCGAGCAGCCTACTCCCCAAATCCTCAATCGGCGGGCGGCGTCGGTGCGTCGGCTAGAGCAGCACCCCTCGACCCGGCGCGGCGTTGCGACCACATCAGATCAGCTTGCAGTTCATCAGGGATGACCGTCGGGTGCTGCGTGATCGCGCCGATGGTGGCGTCGTCGCAGTAGCGGTGCAGGAACCAGTACTCTCTCCACGTGTACGTGCACACGCGGTGGAACCGCCGAAGGAACTGTGATAACGGATGAATCATAGCTAACGTTTTCTGACGATGCCTCATCATCGTCCACTTCCGAGTGCGGGCACACGGCCAGCCGTACATCCGCGGGTCGAGGATGACCCAATCGATGAAATATAAATCGCCGAGGTATTCGGATAGGAGCTCGGTCGGGAAGTGCTCGACGTTCTCCTGGCCGACCTCCGGCTCCTGGATCAGCCGCCGTAATGCGATCCATGCAAGGGTGTCCACGATGCTCTTGTGGCCCTCCTGCTCGCGGCGGCCCTGGGCTGAGCTCCCCTTGCAGCTGGTTCCAGCCATGTGGCGCCGCGCGAGCTGCAAGTTGCAGTGGCGGCCGTGCCGTAGGCAATGTCCCCGGCGAGTGACCGAGTGGCCGCCCTTGATGCTGGGGCCAAGCACCTGCAGGAATAATGCAGGAACCAAAAGTGGTCTGATCATGCACCAACAACCATTCCGCCATTCATCATTATTTCAGCAGCGCCCCCCTCAGCTCGCAGCAGTGGGAAGATGGGGAGGGGGGGCAGGGAGGAGCGAGGGGGTGGGAGAGGGGGGGGGGGGCGAGGCTCGAGGCTCGAGGCGATGTTGAGATGGTGAGGAGGAAGAGGGACAGGACAGGGCAGGGGGGGGGGAATGTGAGCGTGGGTTCCAGATGCAGGCAGCACCTGACACGCGCGATCGGGGCACAGCCGCAAGGCCGCCACGGTGTCCTGCAAGTTCGGGACGAAGAACTGGGCGATGTCGCCGAACAGGCAGCCATCCGACTCCTGCTGGGCGGGCGGCGGGCGGCGATGCAGCACGGGCCAGGGGCCAGGGGGGGAGGGGATGTGGCGCATGAGTGGGAGGCTGAGGCAAGAGGCGGGGTAACAGATTAACAGACTGCTCAACGACGACTCAACGACGGCGACGACGACGGCGGCGACGACGACGACGGCGGCGGCGACGACGATCATTAAAATAAAACCATATAGATATCTCATCACCCGTGTGTCCTGAAGGATCAAGTCCAGCTCCACCTGGCAATCCGCGTCCCACTCGATGGCGTACAGCATCTTCGGGCGCCGAACCAGGCGATCGGGCCGGCGCGCCTGCACTGCACGGTGCAACTGCGTGGCTGCGACCTCGGGAGTACCAATCCCTGAGAAGGCCGAACTCGATGTGTCACGGCTCATCGACTCGACAAGCTCGTCGACCTCCCCATCGCTTAGGCCTGCCACGAAGTCGGACGGCCACTCGAACGAATCTTGCAAGCTGCGGCATACACCGCGGCCGCCTCGATTATAGTCGGCGTAGGCTGCTTCGGGACTGGCAGCCGGAGCAGGCACAGCTGGCTCGAAGCCGCCAAGGAAGCGCGCAATCGTCGACGAGTCTGAGCCTGCTGACGCCGACGACATCGCGGCGGCACCAGTGCCGTCCTGGGGCCTGGGCGCGGTCACCGACGAATGCTGCCGTCGCAACTGCGCGTGGTGGTGTCGGAGGCGTCGCCGGCTGCTGTGATGCGCGAGCTGCTCCACCGCCGGAGGCGGCGGCGGCGCCGCCGCCGCCGCCGCCGCCCCCGGGGGGGTGGAGGGCCCGGCCCCTATCTCCTGCCGGAGCGGCTCTGGCGGCTCTGGCGGCCCCGTCGCACCACTGTCTTGCGGCACATCCGCCGCCGCTGGCTGAGGCGGCTCAGCCTGCTCAGCTGCAGGGCCCGCTGACTCAGGTGCCACCGCCGTCTCCGATGCAGCCGCCCCCGGGGGGGTGGAGGGTCTGACCCATATCTCCGGCTGGGGCGACCCTGGCGGCCCTGTCGCATCGCTATCTTGCGGCACCTCCGCTGCCGCTGGCCCAGGCGGCTCAGATGCAGGGTCCGCTGACTCAGGTGCCACCGCCGTCTCAGTCTGCGGCGGTGGCGACGGCGGCGCGGCTTGGCTGGACTGCTGCGGGGCGGCGGTGGCGGCGACCGCCGCGGTCCGCTCAGGCGGGGGCTCGCCGCCGCGATCGCCGCGCTGCTCAGGCTGCTCAGGCGCAGGCCGCGGCGAAGGAGGGAAGAGCTCGAGCAGCAGCTGATCGAACTCTGCAGCATCCCCACTGGCGGCGGCGGCGGCAGCGGCGGCCGCCGCGGCGAACTCTCCGCCCCCCTCCGCCGCCGATGGCTCAGGCGGCGCCACCCCGGCCGATGCAAGGTCAGCCGCAGCGGCCGCAGCCGCTGACTCTGACTCAGCTGCCACCGCCGTCGTCTCAGGCACAGCAGCTGCAGCCCGCGCTGGCGATGTCGTCGTCACATGCTGTGACAGGGGCGCGTCGTCGGAGGCGTCGGCGTCGGGCGGCGTCCTGACGAAGAAAGGCACCAGCGGCGGCGGGCGAACCTCGTCCAGCTGCGGCGTCGGCGGGAGCGGCGTCGCCCCTGAAGCAACACCAACACCAGCAAGAGCTGCGGCGTCGGAGTCGTCGCCCGACGGCACCTCGGGCGACAGGACGGCATCGCCGCACTGGATCGGCGACATCGGCGACGACTCGACGACGTGACGTGACGACCGTCCGCGACGACGACGACGATCGCGACGGTGCAGGTGCCGAGGCGAAGACCGCATCAGCAGCAACATCAGCAGGTGCGGTGGTGTCGCAGCGCACGGTGTCGCACATCACGTCGGGGCCCGTCGAGGTCGCGGCGGCAGCCACCACCTCCACTGCGGCAGCCTCGGTAGCCTCCACCTCCACTGCGTCGTCGCCCACCACGCCGGGGGCCCTGGGGGCCTCGGAATCGGGACCCTCGATCGGTGCCGAACTACCCGAGGCCGCGGCGGCAGCCGCCACAGCATCCGCGGCATCGCGGCGCCTGGCGACCTGCCAGGCGGGATCGAACCTGGCGTTGAGCTCCGCGGCCCATGCAGCGTCAGCAGCAGCCGCCACATCAGCAGCCAGACGGGCCGCAGCTGCAGCAGCAGCCGCCACCGCATCAGCATTAGCAGCTGCAGCCGCCTTCTCAAGCTTCTCAGGCTTCTCAGGCATCGATGGCGTCTGCTCCTGGCCCTGCTGCCGCGGCGGGCCGCGGGCCGCGGGGGGACTCCCGGCCGCGAGCAGACGCTCAGCTGCGGCTGCGCCAGCAACAGCTGCGGGCGACGCTGCTCGCGGCGACGCCGCCTTCTTCGGCGCTGCCGCAGCCGCAGGTGAACCTGGCAAGGTATCCGGCGCCGGGGGCGCAGCGGACGCAGCGGCAGCGGTGGCGCTGGCTGCTGCACTGTCACATGCCGCGCGTGCTGCAGCTTCGGCACGAGCACGAGCGGCCTTGATCACGACGGCGGCCTCACGATTGGCCTGGATCGTGTCCCACTGCGCAGCCATCAGGTGTGCTGGTCGTGCTGGTGTCCGTGGTGCCGGTGGCTGGGCTGACTGGGCTGACGCAGCTGGCGCCGCCGCTGCGGACACGCCAGGCGGTGAGCCCGACGGGCGGCCCGACGGGCCTGCGCGGGGGCAGCGACCCGCCTCGGCCTCGGCGGCTTCCATGGCAGCGATTTGGGCGTTTGCAGCGGCGAGCTCCTTCGCCTCCTGCTCGCGCCGCGCGGTGGCCTCAGCATGTAAACTTGTAGCCTTGAGCAAGCGGAGTACACTGACGTTGCCAGGAGGAGCCGTCGGGGCCGTCGGGGGCGGCTGCGGAGCGGCCGGGGTGGCGGCCATGCCGCTATCATCATCCGCATCGTCGGGGACCAGACGGCGGGCCTGCTGACTCGCCTGCTGACGACGCGGAGGTGGCCGACGCGGCGTTGCAGCACGCGACGACGTCTGCCGCGTCTTCGGCTCCTTCGGCGTCGGCGGCGGTGTACTGGCGGTCGCGGTCACCTTGCGTTTGGACATGCCGATGCCAGCATCGAGGTTCGATGATGTGGGCACGCCCGCAAAGTGCTTGAGGTGGGAAATGTGCATGCGGAAGCAGGGCTCGACTGGAAGCAGTACGAATTTCTAGGTCACATAACCTCGCGCATCGCGCCGCGCGATGCGCGACGCGCGCATATCTTCGCGCGTTCGTGCCGCTCCCTGGAGAAGGGCGCCTCTCCAGCCCGGGCCGCGACGCGCGAAGCGCGATTATCCTCTCGCCCCTGGGGGGATGACCTAGGGCCGAGGCCCGCATCTACTCAACCAGACCCAACGAGTCCGCATATCAGAGCCAGGGAGTCATCAGATGCTGACGCTGAACCACCAACCAATCAACCAGCCAACCCAATAGCATGATGCATTGTTCAATTAGTACCAATGCAGCATTCGGGTTCGGACCCAGACCCAGAGGGCGACAGCAACTCCACGCACGAACATAGCAGCCAACCAACAAACCAGCCAAATCAATATAGCCGTAGCGCAACTCAGGAGTCAGGACGTGCACGCGAAGCGTCGCAGAATGTCAGAACGCCACAATGTAGCACGTAGCATATATTCGCGATGGTGATCAGCACCATGGACGGAATCGCACAGACTGCTCAACAAGTGACAGACGTGTTGTGAGCAGGACGTGTACGACACGGTCCGACACGGGCCATGAATAGCAAATGTTAGGTTATATCAAATGAACAAACTGATAAACAATAACACGACTGCAATACACAGCAAATGTGACAGTATGATAGTATAATGTTTGTTACATAATTGTATGGATGGTGGCGGATAGTGCACAGACACACACGGTGTTGCATACAGCCTGAAACTCGAGGAAGACTCCCCGATGTGACATCGAAGTCGTTCGGATGAGCTAACATTGCAACACCTCGCGTCGGGGAGGAGGGAAGGAGTGGTGGCGACTCAGCATCAGTTATCCAGGTGATGACAGATGCGTCGGTGATCCGACACACATCCCGACGAGCCAGCCTTGCACCATCGGAGCACAAGGGTTGCCAGAGCACGTGCTGCGCGTGAGACATCCTCAGCACATGTTACGAAACCATATGTGTGAAAACATGTGGTTCGCATAATGCATCAGCGACAGCCACGCAGCATATCCACAGCATAATCATCATCATCCACACAGCATAAGCATCATCATTATCACAACAATCATCATCATTATCATCACCGACCATATGGACATGTCGGAGTCTGACCCCTCCGAAGGTCCCCATAGCAAGGTTGCATGGCGGGGTACACATCCCGACTGACTGACTGGGGAGTGTATACGTTGAGAGGCACTTCCCGACGGGCTGCCTGGGAAGGGGGGTCTGTCGGGAGGTGCCTCCCGACGGGCTGTCTGGGCGGGGGGGGGGTCTGTCGGGAGGTGCATCCCGACGGGATGTCTCGGGACGGGGTCCGTCGGGAGGGAGTTGCCTCCCGACGGGCTGCCTGGAGATGGGGTTCGTCGGGAGGTGCCTCCCGACGGGCTGCCTGGGAGTGGGGTCCGTCAGGAGGTGCCTCCCGACGGGCTGTCTGGGGAAGGTGGTACGTCGGGAGGTGCCTCCCGACGGGCTGCCATGGGATGGGGGTCCGTCGGGAGGTGCCTCCCGACGAGCTGCCTGGCGAGGGGGTCCGTCGGGAGGCACCTCCCGACGGACTGCCTGGAGAGTGGGTCTGTCGGGAGGTGCCCCGACGAGCTGCCTGGGAGGGGGGTCCGTCAGGAGTGCCTCCCGACGGCGGTCTAGGGAAGGCGGCCCGTCGGGAGGTGCCTCCCGACGAGCTGACATGGGAGGGGGTCCGTCGGGAGGTGCCTCCCGACGGGTTGCCCTGGGAAGGGGCCCCGTCGGGAGGTGCCTCCCGACGGGCTGCCTGGGGAGGGGGTCCGTCGGGAGGCACCTCCCGACGGACTGCCTGGAGAGGGGGCCCGTCGGGAGTGCCTCCGACGGGCTCCTGGGGAGGGGTCTGTCGGGAGGTGCCTCCCGACGAGCTGTCTGGGTTGGGGGTCCGTCGGGAGGTGCCTCCCGACGGGATGTCCTGGGATGGTGTTCGTCGGGAGGTGCCTCCCGACGGGCTGCCTGGAGGCGGGGTCTGTCGGGAGGTGCCTCCCGACGGGCTGCCTGGGAATGGGGTCGGTCAGGAGGTGCCTCCCGACGGACTGCCTGGGGAGGGTGGTCCGTCGGGAGGTGCCTCCCGACGGCTGCCTGGGGAGGGGTCCGTCGGGAGGTGCCTCCCGACGGGCTGAGGGGGCACGTCGGGAGGCGCCTCCCGACGTACTGTCTGGAGAGGCGGTCCGTCGGGATGTGTCCCCCCGATGGGC